TGCATCCCTTGAACCTCTCTTCCGCTGTGGTTCCACTGGCTCAAGTCAAGCAACACATGCTTCACTCCTTCCTTTACCACCAGACCTTGTCCATGTCTCTTCTTTCCAACAGGGTTTATATAACTGACGTACCCAGGGCAATGATATTTGTCTGTACTTAGAACCTGGAGCATGATAACATCAAAATCAAACTCTCCAGTACAGTTCCTCTCTGCCTAGCACTCCGACAGTTCCAGTATCCTACTCTTACATGATTGAAGCTCAGTCTCTCCGCTTTTCGTCCTGTTCTTCTAGCACCTGCCCTCCTGTTCCTATGCCGACTTCTCTCCCCATTCCCTCGTCTCCTCCTTACCCTGTCTTCACGAACTGCTGAAAAATGTGTCAAGCACAGAGCACGTGCCCTGTGGCTCCAGCAATGATTCCTATGTATATTTTTAAAATCCATATGCGAAAAATGGGTACTGCAGGAAATAACCAGTCACCCTAGTAGTGTCTGCCTGCTAGGGAAGGGGCTAAAGATGTCCCGTAAGAGTCCATATGCCTAGTGCCGCCCCGTACGCCGCCAGACGTCCAACGTTCACGACCAGCTCACCCGTGGCCATCCAGTTCCTTAATGATAATGAACTACTAGTGTACTCTACTCAAAAAAGTATCACTCTATGCCGTTCCCCAAAATATTCATGATTATTAGGGTCAATCATAGTCCTGTGATGCAGCAGCTCAAAAACGCCAAGGTATCTCTTCAGCTTACTATTTGCAATCACTAGACTAGTCTGCACACTGCATTGACTGATGATACTAGCTCTGAGAGTGGGCTACATCAGGCATACGAAACAGAATCGAAATAGTTTGAACTTTTGATCTGACAGTGACACTAGGACGCTATTAGGGGCGGCATTTCAAAGACTTGTATCATACTGAGAATCTACCGTACCAGACTCCAGCATGTTTATCCTCACCTGCACGCAGAACTGCATTGTGTACTTACCAGTTGATCAGCATCAATGAATTCCAGAGAAATTTGACTAAAAAGCTCAACAAAATGGGAAAGAGGAAAACGTGCACAAAACAACACAACGTAACGTTTCGGCCAGGCAGCCTTTTTCAAACACAAGTGGACTACACAAACGGGGAATGGAGAGTATGTAGATCTCTAAGGGGTGACGTGAGCGACGTTTAAAAAATGTGATGTGGAATAAATGAAATAAAATAAAATAAACGATGGCTAAAAAATATAGTCACAATACTGGGAATAAAAGAAATGCAAGTGTTAATGATACATAAATGATATTGATAAAAAATAGAATATGGTAATAATATGAAATAAAATAAAATAATTAACATTTAAAATGTGACAAGATTAGAACTATTTAGATGAAGGTATGTTGGATATTGATACCTTTTGGACTAAGAACGCCAAGGCTGTGGATAAGGCGATTTTCCAAAGCGAGGCGGGTAGTATGATCGCCAGAGCAAGATTTTAATGCTGTGACAGATATGTCATCTTTACCGCTGTGGTCAGGGCTATTAAAATGAAGAGGGATTGGTTTGAGTGTCTTCTTGTCGATATCAGAGAGGTGTTCCCGGAAACGATCAGCTAGCTTCCTGCCAGTCTCCCCAATGTATGCCATGCTGCATCGTTTGCAGATAATTGCATAAATTACGTTGCGGGATTCGCAAGTAAAAGGTTCCCTAATTTGAAAAGAACCATTAGGGAAACTGACCAAAGAAGTCTGGACAACGAAAGGACATGTTTTGCAGGTGCTGCGTGAGCACTGAGTAGTCCCAAGAGGAAGTGCTGTATGGATCGGTGGGAGTCGGCTTCGGACAAGTATGTCTTTAAGGTTGCGATCTCGTCTGTAAACTAATCTAGGTTTCTCACTAAAGATAATCTTGGTGTCCGGATCAGAGCGGAGGATGTCCAAATGACGAAAGAATACTTTGGAAGCAACCACATTGTTAGGGTGAAAAGTCAAGATCAATTTAGGTCCATCATTGGTGGAGTTACGTTTGGTAGGAAAAGCATCTCTCCTGGTGATTGCTAAAACTTTGTTTAGAGCCCCTTGTAGAATGTGTTCCGGATAAAAACGGGCACAGAAGAATTCAAGAAGTTCAACTGATTTATCAAAGAAGTCAGAATCGTCAGAGCACAACTTGCGCAATCGAAGGAGCTGTGAATATGGAATAGAATTTTTACACGGTAGCGGGTGAGAAGACGTATAGAGGAGATAACTGTGAGAATCCGTGGGTTTGTAGTAGGCTGTGGTTTTCAGACACGGGAAATCGATGCTAATCGTGATGTCAAGAAAGTTAACTGAAGTGGTGGAGATGAGTGAGGTGAATTTGATAGCCGGATTGAAATTGTTGATGTAAGTAATAAATTGGTCAAGCTCAACCATGGACATTTCGGTGATACCAACGCCATCATCTATGTATCTCCTATACACCTCCGGAAACTTGCCCGGGTATGATAAACTGACCTCGTATTTCAAGTGGCCCATAAAGAGGCACGCGTAACTAGGACCCATCTTGGTGCCCATCGCAACCCCACTAATCTGGTCAAAATACTCACCATTAAACTCAAAAGAGTTGAGGGTCAGTACCAGTTCGGCAAGGCGTATAAGAACTGAAGTAGGGATGATCGGGTTGGACCTTCTGTCCAAAAAGAACTGGAGTGCTCTAAGACCATCAGAGTGAGGGATAGACGTATAGAGGGAGCATACGTCTATCAGGAAAAGATGATAGGTTTTACCGGGAAGTAGTCTGATGGATTCGAACATGTTGAGGGCATGGTTGGTGTCCTTGACAAATGAAGGGAGACTGGTGACAATCGGTTGGAAAATACTATCTAAAAATTCAGAAAGATACACCGTGGGACAGGAGCATGCAGATACAATGGGACGTCCAGGGTTGTTGGGCTTATGGATCTTAGGCAGCAAGTACATATACGGTTTGCCAAGTTGGCTGTCAAAAACACGCATATTGTTGGCCTGCTTAGGAAATGTCCATGGTTGAGCTTGACCAATTTATTACTTACATCAACAATTTCAATCCGGCTATCAAATTCACCTCACTGATCTCCACCACTTCAGTTAACTTTCTTGACATCACGATTAGCATCGATTTCCCGTGTCTGAAAACCACAGCCTACTACAAACCAACGGATTCTCACAGTTATCTCCTCTATACGTCTTCTCACCCACTACCGTGTAAAAATTCTATTCCATATTCACAGCTCCTTCGATTACGCAGGTTGTGCTCTGACGATTCTGACTTCTTTGATAAATCAGTTGAACTTCTTGAATTCTTCCGTGCCCGTTTCTATCCGGAACACATTCTACAAGGGGCTCTAAACAAAGTTTTAGCAATCACCAGGAGAGATGCTTTTCCTACCAAACGTAACTCCACCAATGATGGACCTAAATTGATCTTGACTTTTCACCCTAACAATGTGGTTGCTTCCAAAGTATTCTTTCGTCATTTGGACATCCTCCGCTCTGATCCGGACACCAAGATTATCTTTAGTGAGAAACCTAGATTAGTTTACAGACGAGATCGCAACCTTAAAGACATACTTGTCCGAAGCCGACTCCCACCGATCCATACAGCACTTCCTCTTGGGACTACTCAGTGCTCACGCAGCACCTGCAAAACATGTCCTTTCGTTGTCCAGACTTCTTTGGTCAGTTTCCCTAATGGTTCTTTTCAAATTAGGGAACCTTTTACTTGCGAATCCCGCAACGTAATTTATGCAATTATCTGCAAACGATGCAGCATGGCATACATTGGGGAGACTGGCAGGAAGCTAGCTGATCGTTTCCGGGAACACCTCTCTGATATCGACAAGAAGACACTCAAACCAATCCCTCTTCATTTTAATAGCCCTGACCACAGCGGTAAAGATGACATATCTGTCACAGCATTAAAATCTTGCTCTGGCGATCATACTACCCGCCTCGCTTTGGAAAATCGCCTTATCCACAGCCTTGGCGTTCTTAGTCCAAAAGGTATCAATATCCAACATACCTTCATCTAAATAGTTCTAATCTTGTCACATTTTAAATGTTAATTATTTTATTTTATTTCATATTATTACCATATTCTATTTCTTATCAATATCATTTATGTATCATTAACACTTGCATTTCTTTTATTCCCAGTATTGTGACTATATTTTTTAGCCATCGTTTATTTTATTTCATTTATTCCGCATCACATTTTTTAAACGTCGCTCACGTCACCCCTTAGAGATCTACATACTCTCCATTCCTCGTTTGTGTAGTCCACTTGTGTTTGAAAAAGACTGCCTGGCCGAAACGTTACGTTGTGTTGTTTTGTGCACGTTTTCCTCTTTCCCATTTTGTTGAGCTTTTTAGTCAAATTTCTCTGGAATTCATTGTATTAGCTTGACTGCAGTCACCCCCATAGTTTCACCATTTTTTGATCAGCATCAGCTTGTTTGTCCCCTTATTGTTATTATTGCATGAACAGGTGGATAGTTCTGGGTGAGAGAAGTTAATAGTACACTGACCCTGAATGCTCTGTATAATATACACCCCAAAAAAAGACATTCTTAAAATGATCAGAATTTTGCGGGATGGCTCATTGGTAGTATATGGTTTCTCAAAAACTTCAATTTTTCTACCATACTAAACATTGTAATGGTTTGGAGAGGGCAACAGAGGAGGGTATGGTTCCTTTAAGAAGAGATGATGTTGGTTGACAAGCATGATGTGGTGGTGGACATAGGATATCAAAGTCACCCTAGGCATGAAAGATGGCAAGGATCAAGTTGTCTTCCTGTTGTCATTAGGAGCAAAATTCTGCAAAAGACCAGCTCTCTCCTCTCTTTCTCTCCCTCTCTCTTAAAATTTGTATTTTATTAAAAAAGCAAATACAGTGTGATACCCATGTGCCATGACATTTTATAGGTTGTACTGTTTTTATGACGAGCTTGTAAATAAGCTTTTAAAGGTGATTTATGTAATTTACCTTTCAGAATGGGGCAACCTGAAGCTTTGATTGTCTTGCCAAGGGATAAAGATACTAATTACTTACAGACTCATGACAGTGTGCATAAGTATGATGGTGCTGAAAATGAAAAACTGCAGACCTTGTTGGATGTTTGCTCTGAGGGTCTCACATATTTATCACTTTCAGATGTAAAATATAGAAAAGTTCATATAACTCGTGTGAATTTAGACTACAATAAAATAACTCAGTTGCCTGAACGGTTAAATGAAGAGTTACCTTTTCTAAAATATTTTACTGCAAACGGTAATGAACTTTCTAGTCTGCCTGATGATTTTGGTGATTTAAGTAATTTGGAAGAAATATATCTGTGTGAAAATAAACTCTCATCATTACCAGAGTCCTTGTGTAAACTAAGCAAACTGAAGGTTTTGAAGTTGAATGCCAACTGTTTGAGGAAACTTCATTCAGAAATTGGCCAAAACATTTCTTTAGAAACTCTAAGTGTAGATGAGAATAAATTAAAATGCTTTCCAGCAACACTTGGTTTATTGAGAAATCTGTGTGTGCTGGAGGCAAACTACAACAGACTTGAATACCTTCCTTCCACTTTAAACTACTTAGAAAGACTCAGTGTTGTGGATCTAAGCAGTAATAGATTGACATCAATTCCAGAATCTTTCGGAGATTTAAAAAATCTAACTCATGTGGACTTCTCGGAAAACAAAATAGGACACCTATGTCAACATTTTCAGTCTAGTAAAATGCTGCAGCGTCTTTTCCTGGACTTGAATGTTTTTGCCAGATGTCCTGAATGGTTCACAGACCTTGAAAGTATAGTAGAGATAAGAATGAAATGCAATGAGCTTTCTGGTAAAGCTCTTCCTGAGGGCTTTGGATTCAAATCAAAACATCTGAAAATGTTGGATATGAGGGGTAATTTTGTTCAGGAACTGCCAGCTTCATTTGGACACTTGTTATCTTTGGATTTGCTGCTTTTAGGCACACCACATAATTACCTAGAGAGGAAACCACATTTTCTTAATGGAAATTGGCTTAGCATATTGCCACAGAGCTTTACAGAACTGACTTCCCTTACAAAACTGTTTCTGGAGGAGAATCAGCTTCGAATCTTGCCAGAAGATATTGGAAATCTGTTCCATTTGGAGGACCTCTTTTTAGGTAAGATTATATTATTCAAAGCTGGTTCTATATACTGCAAAAGGTTAAAGATTCATATATCCACTAGTACAATCTTTCATGTGAAAATAAAGTTGATCCAGATCTCCAATCATCAGGGGCAATCTTCAGTACACTTTTCCTAAGAATAGCTGCTGAGTCAGATTACTGCGTCAGGGACTACACCATTACGTATGGCAGCATGCAGTGCACCGTTTATTGCAGAAGATATTTAGAGGTGTTATTTTGCTGTCACAGCAAAGCACATTCAAAATTTGTTTCAAGCGAAAATTCTGACGACAGAAGTGAATGAGACCAGTTATGTTTTAGAATTAAATGATGGTTGGCTATGATTAATATCTATATTAACTCTTGTGTTGATAGTTTTAATGTTATTTTTTGTGTTTTCATGTATTTTTTAAAACTGGTGTTGGTGTATGGGCAATTTAATATCAGAAAGAAATCTTCAGTGATGATTTTTAAAATTGTTTTATCAAGTTATGTCTACATGTTATTTTTAACAGGCTCCAGTGGATCAAGAGGTGAGGAAAAGATGCTGGCGTTGGATAGGACACACGCTGAGAAAACAGGAGAACAGCATAACTAGAATGTCTTTGCATATTAACCCACGGGCGCATAGGAATAAAGGAAGGCCAAAAACACGTGGAGAAGACAGCTGGAGAATGAAGCTAGAAAGATAGGGAGAACTCCATCTTATGGCGAAGGATAGAACGACTTGGCATGAGTTGGTTGAGGGCCTATGCTCCATTGGGGGATAGAAAGGCAGAAGATATTTTTGTTATCTTTTGTGTTTTTATGTATTTTTTTAAAACTGGTGTTTGTGTATTATCAGAAAGAAATCTTCAATGATGATTTTGAAAATTGTTTTATCAAGTTATGTCTACATGTTATTTAATTTGCCAATGGCAAATAGAAGTAGTTACCATAATAATGCTTTTGGGTCGACAGTTACATGTTTGCCCATATAAGCACGCACACATACACACCACAGAGATAAGTAAGTAAAGGATAAACAAGATTTTATTTATTTGTATTTTTGTCTTACATATTTGATATTTATATGGACCACATAGGTACTTTTCATGGTTCTCAGTAAATGACCCTTTCATGTTTTTTACAGCTGTATCAACTTGAATGCCTAATGTAATTATGTTAACTCAGATACCTACGGACTGTTATTTATTTTTAGGATCCAATATGCTTGTTGAACTGCCGGTTTCTTTTACGAAACTTGTGGCTTTGAAAAGATGTCAGCTGTCGAAGAATCGATTGATGTCGCTACCAGAAAACTTCGGCGAATTGAAGTTGTTAACCGAGCTTCATGCAGATTTTAATAAGGTATATATATGTGTTTTTTTTTAAATCACTAAATACATTTTTTTAGAATGACAGAAGAAAAAATTTTTTCTTCTCCAAGAAGCTGTCTGCTTTTCTTTCAGCCTTCTAATAACACTGTTATTTTTCAGCATAAAGGCATAACAGAACTATGGTAACATTATATACTACTTTCTTCTAATACAGAGTATTCAAAAATAATATTTCCATTGTAAATCTTAAATAATGAGGACACAAGCAATACATTGCACTGTTTATTGCCTGGAATATTTCCTGCATCTTGTCAGGTGCATTATACCAGAGTTAAGTCAGCACATAAGCATAAAATGAATCCTTTTCTTGCTGAAAGGCATAAACCACACTGTTGTTGCTGTACATCTGCCCGTTGAAAATATAAAATCAAAATCAGTTATGTGATTACATGTTAACTTCCAATTTGTCACGTGATCTTTCTGTTTGCATAACAAAAAAAAAGTAAAGGTTTTATTGATACAGCCTCAGTCACTTATAGCAAATGTCTGTTCGGTATGTGGTAAATAACCCTGAAAGCACAGTCTTGATCAACTATGTGTCTAGAGTCAAGCAAATGATGTTAGGACAAAGAATTAGTGTCTGTCTTCTTAGCTGATCCTGATGCAGGATCTCCACTCAGTTGTGTGGTGCCATTTAGGGGTGTGTTCTGTTACTTTGTTTTCAATCTGTCATGCCGTTCGAACGATGTCAGTCAACTGACACTTGCATGTAAAGTGATCAGTGCAATTTGATTTGGTGTAGGGAGCTACTGGTTTTTTAGCAGATGGAGCAGGAATGGAAGTGGTCTTGTATCTCACCACTGGAACTGTGGCAAAAAACTGAAATAAAGAAATTGGGTTACCCTTGAATAATTAACTTATCAATGAAGTGACTGCAAAAATGCTCAGACTCCTCAGTGCACAGTCTTCCTAAATTACGTAAGGCTGGAACACCTCCAAGGTCGATTGTTTCCATGATTAACTTGGCCCAACATCGATTGCGAAATGGTTAGCTGAAGTACTAAAGCCAATAAAACAGTTGTTTAAAAACAGAACTGAAATTGAAACTGTTGAATTGCCTTTTTCAAAACCATGAATCTAGAACAAAAGCTCATGACATCATTGGATATATCATCCTTGTTTACTAATGTACCATTAGAAGAAACCATCAGGATAATAATTGTTTACATAAAAGAAAAGAAACTCAGATTGGATATCCCAACATTTATTTTGGTGAGACCTATTCACAGCTAATACCACATTAAAATTTCTAAAAAAAAAGACTTACCGGCACATTGATGGAGTGGCCAAGGGGAGCCCACATGGTCCAATCCTGGCTGACATTTTCGTGGCACATATTGAACAAAACAGATCCACACTTATCAAGGATTTGGTTCTTTACCATGGACAACATTTTAATAACATCTGGCAAGCAGCTACATTCCATGCCACCATGAATCACAGACACACAAAACATCTCATTATCTTTATAACACGAAGAAGAAAATACTTTGTCATTCCTTGATGTGTTAATTAAACATAGAGAGGATGGTCAGTACAAAGATCAGTGTCAGTGTATCATAAAGGTACATGGACTGGCCAAGACTTAAACTTCCACAGTTTTGTTCCTATTCGGTAGAACGTGGCCTAGTGAGAAGCTTGTTTAGCTGTGCCAGGAAGATTTGTACTGAAGATACACTGGCAGCAGAAATTGAAACCATCAAGACAACTTTACATTTAAATGAGTACTCCAAAGGATTCATCAAATGCAACAGCATCCCACCTAATTCAGCCCCAGTAAAATCACAGCTCCACAACTGCAAGCATTCATCCAACTCACATTTCAATGAGACGATGCCATGCAAAATCTGCAGGATTGATTAAAAACAGCCATCAGCCAATTGTTTTTGCCGCTGTCTCACTGGTGAGATACAAAACCACTCCCATTCCTACTCCATCTGTTTAAGAACCAGTAGCACTGTACACCATTTCCCATTGCATTTATCAATTACATGTCACATGTAACTGTCAGTTGACTTACATTGGTAGAACAGAGAGACAGCTTAAAAACAGTGGCAGAACGCATCCATAAATGTCTCCACAAGCAACTGGGTGGAGATTTTGCATCAAGATCACCTAAGAAGAGAGAACCACACACTGAACAGATGTTTGCTAAAAGTGATCGAGGCTGTATCAAGAAAACCCTACTCCCCTTTGTTATATAAACATAAAGATCACATTATCAGTTTGAAGTTACATGTTAATCACATGACTACTTTTGAATTTCCAGTGGATAGGTGTAAAGAAACTTGACAGTGTGGCTTATGCATTTCAGCAAGAAAAGGATTCGTTTTGTGCTTCATTATGTGTTGACTTAACTCTGTTGTAACGCACCTTACGAGATGCAGCGAAATATACCAGGCGATAAATTGTGCAATGTATTGTTTGTGTATACAGTATCTTCTGTAATTGTGGTCCCTGAATATTCCTTGCATTGGCTCTATACAGTAACTTCATGTGGTTCTTGAGCTATTCTTGAACATTCACACTTTATTAGCCTGGTCTTAATCTACTACATTGTTGGTTTTACATATCATCATCTATTTAAAGGACACAACAAGGAGTCTGATTCCATGAATACAAGCACTATCTTTATTCAGTCAAACATGAATTTATGTAAACTTTTAAACTGCAATCACTGCCGTCTATTTATTTTTGGAAAATAAAGGTCACAGCTTGTTAAATTTAAGTATTTGTGCTTTCAGCTTCGAAAACTGCCAGAGTCTATGAAGAACCTGACTAACCTGGAGCTTCTAGATTTATCTGAGAATAAACTGAAACTGTTTCCATCAGCAATAATCTCTTCAATGATTAGGTTAAAGACCTTATACTTGCATGATGTAAGTTTGTTCATGGTTTTCACATTTTTTTCTCAATTTCAATCTTATTTGTGTTGTATTTAAGGTTCAGTCAATCATGAATATCATCATTCATCGTCATTATCTTGTTGTGCCATTATATGTCAAGCAGGGCTTGCAGTCCTTTTCTTCGTTCCTTTCTGAGTTATGATTTGGGTTATTTTCACGGCACTCAAGGCACGACCATAGGTACTCAGATTCCCCCTTTAACATATACATCAGCGTTCCACGATTTATAGTCCCAGTCCTGTGTTGGTTGACAAGACTTCTTGTGCATCCCGTGTGGAAGTGCTGCTCTCAAAATCCTCCAAACATCCTACCTCTCTAATGGCATTAATATTGTCGGCATGATCCATAGACCGGCCCTCTGTAACTAAGGCAGAGCTGGCTTATCTGTCGGCTCTGTCATTGCCAACAACACCCGCATGCCCTGGTACAAAGATGAAGGTTACTCCACTCTCAGTGTACAAAGCCCGCCTTGACCCAGCAGATAATGCTCCTGGAGTCACACATGTGCGAGAATAGCCCTGCAATGCTAGCCACATGAAAGCTTGTGTTACCACCATTATCTCCATTGTCATGCTGCTAGTAGTCATACATAAGGCACCACTGGCCTTCTGGCACTTCAGACATGTTAACCTCGCATGCCAGCATATTATCGAGAAACAGAATGACCTGCCTGAGTTGATGTCGATTGTAGAAACACTGAAAACCTGCTGCTCTAACTTCTTCATCGCCAATGTGTATTTCCTGCAGGACCACACTGACCTACTGGATGTTATGCCTGCAGAGCACGGAGTAAATACCCATGCACATTTTTTTCCTCCTACAACATACCCATCTGTGTACACGTGAAAACTGCCACATTTAACTATGTCTCTTTGTTGCACGTATCTATGCACCACTATTTTCTCCAGAAGTTTCCCAGAGTGTTCAGCATCATAATAATTCTGTAGCCGCTGATCTTAGGGTTGTCTTTGGTTTTGGCAGTGATAGTAAGTAGCTTGGCAGCCACTTCTCTTTGATCTGACCACTCTGGACGCTGCTGTTGAATTTTTATGCAAGTTTTATCATGTCATCCTCTGACATCTGTAGCATGTCAGCATATTGGATGCTGTCAGGGCCTGGAGCAGTGGTGATAACATAGTCATCACTCAGCTCTGTCTGCTTGCACAGCTCCAAGAGTGTTGACTTAACTCTGTCTGATTGCCTCATCTTTTTGGCCAGTCTGCTCTAAGTACCGCTAAAGAAGGGCCTGCCCTTTGTCAGCATCAGATTTCTACCATATCAGAACTGTGCTCTAAAAGTCTTGGATACCCTGACATCAAGTGGTGCCATTCATTGCTTGGTGAAGTAGCCAGAATGTTCCAAGGGACCCTTCTGAGCATACCTTCTGACACTAGTCAGTCCATTTCTCTTTCCTCATCTGTGCTGCACATAGCTTAAATGCCTTGGTCATCTTGTTAACTTTATCTTTCAGGTCATTGAGGAAATCTGGCCTTCTTCCACACCCTGACGCCTCTTTTCCAGCCATGCCCTTTTAACCTCTTCATCCCACCATGGTAGCTGGGTCTATTTTTTCCACTACCTACAGGAGGCATTTAATTTACAACATCTAACCTTTCTGGTGGCATCCTGTCCTCTGCTGTCATACTAAAAAACATTTGTTCTGTTTCTCTGGTTTGCTCTTCCTGTTCTCAACCAAGATGACACAAGGCAGGTGGCCACTGTCATGTTATCCCACTGTGTTCCATCTACAAGGAGGAGTGATGGTGGGCAACACCAGAGCCAAGTCAGTGATACTGTCAGAGTCAAGTGGCTGGTCTAGGGACCTGTCCATTTTTCAAGCATACCAGCTTAGCAGATACCTGAGCGTTTTCCAGAACTTCCCCCTGCTTATTGGTGGTAACATTACCCCACTGGCTTCTTTGGCATTGAATTCCCCGCAGAAGATGCTATTTCTTTGCCTGGACATGAGCAAATGTTGCCACTGACATGCACTGACCTTCCCATTGCAGGCATAAACATTTACGATTGTGAACTTGAAGGAAATCAAAACTCAGACTGCATGCACCTGCAGGATGTCACTGTTCACTTCAGACATGTTAACCTCGCATGTCAGCTTATTATCGAGAACCAGGATGACCTGCCCGAGGTGATATTGATTGTAGAAACATTGAAAACCTGCCGCTCTAACTTCTTCGTCACCAATGTGTATTTCCTGCAGGACCACAATGTCATTGCTGTAAAGCAGCTTTTCGACAATAGGTCGCCTCTGATAAATAGAGGAACAGTTCCAATACAATGTGCGAATGTATTTCATACTCAGCCTCTCGCATTTTAACCAGTTCTTGCACACATGCTTGTGTACTCTATAGCATGGTCCAGAACCCCTGCTCCGCTGAGAATCTCACATTAACCGCAAATAACTGGTAAAAAGAAACTCCTTACCCTAATGAACAAAAAAAGTGTCCTGCCATCTTAGAGCATCATAATGCAGTTTGTTCAATATCATTGATGGAATCCAGTTCAGCTTCTTTAGCCTGTCTCATCAGTGTTTGTTTTAGGGTTTCTTGTCTTCTTAACTTGATCTGTTTATTTCCCATTTTAGTGCATGTTTGATAATCCTCTGCTCATTTCTTCTCAGGATGTGCCCAGTATAGCGGCATCTTTGACTTATAATGTTGATACTTTTAGTTGCCCAGACATTTCTGCTGTTTCTTAAACCTTCTTAAATTTATCTTTTTTTATTTTCATCATTTCCCCCAGGCATTTAATTTCAAATGTATTTAACTTTCATTCCATGTCTTTAGTGGTTCTCCATCATTCACTGGCATATGTTAAAATTGAAATAGAATTGAAAATACATAACTTTGTTTTAAAACTACCATCATCATCATCAGGTGCCTTGCTGACTGGCATGGGCGATCATGCCTTTCCACAATCTGCGATCAGTTCTTGTGTTGACACACCTGCATGCCATGCAACAAGACTCAAGAATCTTCTCTTGTTGTCTTCCTCTATCCCTCCTTCCACAGATCTTTCCAGTGGTCACAACAAGTTCTATTTTACCTATTCTCATAACATGGCTGATGTCTGTGATAAGTTGTCTTCGGGCTCCCGCCTCTTTCAAAACCTCTTGGTTGCTCTTTATGGCTGTCCAAGGTATTCTAACCATTCTTCAGGCCTCAAGAAATTGTTTGCCCTGCCTACTGATTGTCCAGGATTCACAGCTATATGTTAAAACTGGATGTATGTAGCAAGCAAGAATTCTTTTTCTAACTCTCAAGGACAAAGATATATTGCACAAGATGTTCTTTATTTTATAAAATGCACTTTTCAATTTATCTCACGCATCTTCCATCTTATCCATGTGCCCAGATACTTAATTTCTGTACTTGCCCCAAAATAACACCATCAACTTTGATTACACATTTAGGAATATTTCATTTCTTTGATACCACCATTACTTCTGTCTTCCCATTATTCAAACTGAGGCCCATTCTTCCACTTTCTACCACCACAATGTCTATCATTTCCTGTAGTTCTTTCTGACTTGTCGCTATCAAGACTGTGTCATCAGCATAAAATAAATTGTTTATATTGTACCCACCAACCACAATTCTGGGAATATCATTTAAAGATCTCATTATATATTCACTGTATATTGAAAACAAATCAGGTGACAGTACACATTTTTGTCGTACGCCCCTCTTTATTCTTTGAAATCTACCTAATCAGTTGTTAATTCTTATAGCTGCTGTTTGCTTCCATACATATTCTTTATTATTGGTAGATCTTTTCTATCAATGTTTAATTTTTCGAACAGTTTGATTACTTCTTCTTGCTTCACACAGTCAAGTGCTTTTGTATAGTCTATGAAGCATTAGTACGAATCAGTCTTTACTTCTATAGCTCTTTCTGACAATGTCCTTAGGACGTATATGGCATTATTTGCACCTTTCCCTTCTACAAATCCACACTGTTCATCGCTGATTTCTGGTTTAAGTTTCTTTCCTATTCTTCTCATAATTATTCTCAGTAAAATCTTAGTCATGTAACTCATAAGACTTATTGTGCGATGGTCTTAACATTTTAAAACAACACAAAATGAATATTTTACCTCTTCTCATAACATGGCTGATGTCTGTGATAAGTTGTCTTCGGGCTCCCGCCTCTTTCAAAACCTCTTGGTTGCTTTTGTAAGTCTGTCCAAGGTATTCTAAGCATTCTTCAGGCCTCGAGAAATTGTTTGGCCTGCCTACTGATTGTCCAGGATTCACAGCCATCCTGGGATTATTTAATGTTTCAAGAGAAAAACATGGGATATTATAATTTCAAGTAACTCTTGTATTTTTATATGACAAAGTGAGTGCATATCTTGTTATTAGGTAAGTGAGCTGCATGATTTTCTTGTCTAATATATATTGTCAGAACAACTTTGATGACTGTGATGTTCCCAAAATTGTGAGAATACATCAGGCTGAACAGGCTAAAGAAAGCAGCACAAACAACTGGCGAGGCAGAAGCAAGAAACTAGAACTCAATCAACAGTCAGCAGTGTCAACCACTAAGGTAAGGAAAAGGAAAGATTAGTAATATTTTAATAGAGTCAGTACATATTTGTGTAATGCTGGGCCCAGAATTATTGTCAAACTGAACCATCAGCACTTAGTCAAATGTGATTTTCTGCATAGGACCTAAGGATTAGTAACGTATAACATGTGGTTGAATTATGATAGGCCTTGCTTCTCTGGCCTTGTAATCCTTGTCTGCCATTAGTAACCAAGGTCATGTCACACAACCTAACTACATAGCTGGAGGGCAGTAAGAGACATTTATTACTTGAAACATGAATGGAAAAAAAATAGAAAAAATAATTTTCTTGACACTGATTATAACCACCAAAAATGTGACACTTCAGAAATATTTATCTTTTGTAAATAGCAAGCATATTCACACATGCTCACACACAAACATACACGACCCTGGCTGTGAAGGAAATATGTAATGTACATTCCTTTTCAGTGTAGCTAGCAATTGACTTAATGCAATGATGTTATCTTGGCATGACCTTGAAAAGAGCTTATGAATAACACCTCCCATCCCAATCACTCAATCAATCAGGTGCCGTCTCCACAATGAGAGTTGGCTGCAATGTCTCTTGCCCTTGATGTACACTCATTCATACTGCTGTTCGCCCATCTCTTGATGTTATCCTTTCACTTGTAACGCTGTCTGCCTTTTGCTCGCCTATCTTGAACCTTTCCCTCTAGGATGATCTTTACAATACTGTTATGTCTTTTAATGTGGCCAAAATATTTCACTTGTCTCTTTTTTAATTTCACCTAACAACTCTCTTTTCATTCCCAATTTCCTCAGTACCTCTGTAATTGATAGCTTTTGTTTCCATGAAAAATGACCTAATCTTCTGTATATCCACATCTCCAAAGAATTGATACGATTTTCCAGTTGTTTGTTCATTGTCCATGTCTCTGTGAAATAAAGTGAGGTTGAGAATACATAACATTTGACAATTCTCATTTTTAATGTATTGCTTATTTTTCTTGATGTCTGTAACTTTTGTATGTTGTTGAAAATGTTTTTGGCCATCCCTATTCTTTTCTTGACAATCACTACTTTATTGAATAAGTTATTACTTGTCAGTGTAATTTGTTCATTTCTTTCTTCTTCTTTATTCACCGACGAAAAGTCCTCATATTTTGGACTCTAGCGTTGTGCCAGGGCCTGAGTTTTGCAGGTATTTCTGGTTTACTGGTTTATTTCTGTGCAGTTGATTGTTTCTTGCCAATCGGGCAGATGCACTCTGACTTTGAAGAAAGCTACAAATAAGTTTTCATAGCACGCTTGATTGTTTAAGAGAATTTATGTTTGCATAATTATGTTTGTTTTTATTGTTCAGAATATTCATGATTGATTGGTTGTACAGCTCACGAACTCGGGCCCAGAAAGAGACTGACTTCCCTTGCCATTCATCCCTGGTTGTGTCGTGGGGCCTGTCTTATGTTGCGGGAGTGTTGTCTTTAGTAAGCGTCCAGCAAGTCAGCACATTTTACTCATTGTTGTCACCGGCCGGCGATATCATGTTTTCTGTATTCCACAATGTGAGCGCTTTTTGCCTTCCCAAAACACGTAGAACTGGCCCCAACCAAAACCTCCCTACACAACAAGCCTTAGCTTACATCACACGCGAGAATGCAGCCTACGTCCCATGACTGCATGCAGTCTATGACAACAACACGTAAAATACGTTGTGTTGCTATATGCTCACTGAGCGTGATACCCCCGCAACATAACACAGGCCTTACTACATGACCAGGGATGAATGGCAAGGAAAGTAACTTTCTTTCTGGGTCCGACTTCATGAGTTGTTCTTAATTGACTTGTCAAAAATATATTTGAGCAGTGCCCCTCTGAGGCTGACCAGAATGCAGAGATTTGCAGAACTATGTGCTCAGATGATAGTGACATGGAAGAGGATTGGGACCAGGATATTTCCAAGCTCAGCTCTTCCTCATGTAAGTATCTGAAACCCTTGTGTTTCTCGTGTATTTTGTTGTGAATATTCTTTTTCTCCTAACTTACACCGGGTGTGTGTGTGTGTGTGTGTAAACACTATTATCATCCTTATTCTGGTATGGGCAGTAATACATTTCCACAGCTTTTGTCCCCAGGGCTATGTATGAACACCTGCTATCTCTTTATTTATACTGACATGTTGTCTGTCCATGGTTTTCTCCTTATTTCTTCATCTACTCCGTGCTCCATTAATTATGTTCTAGTTTAATTCTTTTCATTTAAAAAAAAAAAACTGGTTGAAATATGTCTGCCACAGAAATTGAACCCTAGTACTCGGGGATCATGGAATTCATAAACATATTTACTGACCCTCTAAGCTACAGAGCTGCACGTTCTTCTCATGTGTACAAAGGCTATTTCAGTCTAATCTAGGCAGATCTAGATGTAAAAATGGAATCACATCAGTAACGAAGTTGATGGTCTGGTGTTTTTACTCTCCAGGCTCAGATATTCCACAGTCCCAGCCAGATATTGAAGAGAATTGGGATATTGACTCTGCCTTTGGCAGTAATCATCCAGACAATGGCGGACAGTTTGGTAAGTAATTTCCTGCCCCGATTTGAATTCTGTCATTTTGATTGCTATTGATATGAAAGAACAGTCATATAGTACTCTGTTAAAGGTAAATTACTGTGTTTCAGACGGAAAACTCTTTAAAATGAATCTGTTAACTGTTCTAACATGTTTATTTATTTTTAACTTAAGCCGTTAGCAAAATTTATCACCTTTCCTCCACACCACCAAGTAGTTTTTTAGTTGGAAACACTGGCCACACAACTTTTCTGTCTTAACAGGGATGACACTGTGGTGCCATTACTTCTGTCAGTTCACCTAGGAATGTCTAAAGTCATATATACCCAGTCCAGCTGGCAAGGGTCTGACAGGTGGTAGTTTAATGTGGCATAGAAATATGGTGCTGTAGGAGTTTGGGAAAGCAGGAGAATTGAAATGGCTTTAGAACAGTCCTAGAAGGATCAGTGGGTTTCATGGTGAAGGAGTCTGCAAAGTTCCCAGACCTTGAATCTCATTGTTTACAAGAAAGTTATATGCACTTTGTTTTTAGACACAGTTCAGGTCACATAGTATGAGAAGTCTTTTCCTGTGCTTTTATATTCTTTCATTATTATGTGTGTATGCTTGTTCACTGGCATTCTTTATTTAAAATACACAGATTGTATTAATGTACACAGACAGTACATTGCAGAGTTTATTTTCAAGGATTTTTGTGCTGAATCTGATCAGATGCATTACTAGTGTTACATCAGCGTAAAATGAAGCACAAAACTTGAATCATTTCTAGAGGAATATACCAATTACAGTTTCTTGTTACTCCGTACACACATGAAAGGAATTTCAAAATTGAACATGTGATTGCTACTAGATCTTTTTATTTACATAATGCAGGATTGTCCAATTTTAAATGCTGCAGCTTCCATAAGTTTAAAGACCATCAGTGTGTGTTTAATAACTTGGAAGGCACAATCCCTATCAATTACATGCCCAGAAACTAGCAGATGGCGTCCTATTAAAGAATTATTTCTTTTTGATTGACCTTGCAGGATCTTTACTCAGTTGTGTATAAAGCCATTTAGAGATATGTTCTGCTACTTTGTTTCCAAGCTATGTGTTCAGCCAGTGTAAGTTAGCTGACACACTTGTTTTGATATGCCACATTGGATTTGGTGTACACTTCATCACTAACTCTTTAAGATGTAGGATTTAGTTGCTGGAATAGTGGCATAGAACATTTGACCAGCAGTTGTTTTAGTTGGTCCTGCAGACACTGTACTGCAACCTCAACCTATAAGGATTTCTGATTTTGTCACAGTGGGAAAACATTGTTATATTGTAAAATTTTTTTCTTAAGTGTTTTACTATTTGTTTATAGTTTTTTTTTTAAATTAAAGAAAATTTAAAAAATGGACCTTGCATGGAAATTGTGTGTATGAAAAAATCAATGCATTCATTGCAGATCTCGATGATGAAGAACCAGTCAGACAGATATTCATTCCCAGTGTGGTCAGACTGGACTCATCTGGAAACAGTACCAGCATCATTCACATGGACATACACAGACATTGTTCAGCACCTTACCTGTATCATGCCCCCATGATAAGTCGTTACCTTAATGAACCAGGTCATGTTGTTGCAGGACAGTTTGATAGTGACAGCAGTGATGTTCCTGGTGATGAAGCACATGTTCAAGATTAGTGATTAAAATACTTTTGTAATGTAGGCTCTTGCAGGCTGTTATATTCAGATATGAGTACTAGACAGACTTCAGTTGTGTAATGTGTAAAACCTGATTGATATCACAGAATGTTTCATAATGGTAAATATCAACATAAGTTTGCTACCAGTTACTTCCACCACTGTGTTGGATATCTTTGAATTTTATGATCAAGCCAATCAGTTTCTGTGAACCACATTAGTTGTATGATGAGGGCAGCTGATTGAAGGTTAACCAGAATGAGCCAATCAATATTTTACTGTACCAACTACATGCTACAGCCATGCATGAAGTCTCAGCTAAGTCAACAAGAGCCTTCAACATTCTGCTCTAAATAAAGGTGACTTGAAAGTATCGAGATGACACACCGTTTTGGAAATTTCGTCACATAAACAAAACACTAAAGCTTTTTGTTAAGTAAGAGAAGCGGCGAAGCAGTATGGGCGTTCAGCCACCTTTTTTGAACACTAGATTGTATTGTCCTAGTCTCTTGGTGGGTTAAATCGCTATTTGATTGTGCCTGTTACTGCCACTTCTGGCGAGTCTGTTTACTATTTCACTGCCTTACAAGCCACTGCGACCTGGAATCCACTTGTTTTGCATTTTTTTTTTAATTTTAGATGCTGTTGGAGAGAATTTGTTGGATAAGATATTTAAGGGTGATGAAACCTGGGCACACCATTTTGATGCTGAGACAACAATAAAAACTAGTCCATGAGGTGGCACCATCCGCAGTCACCAGGAAGAAAGAAATTCAATACTTCCAGTTGGACAGCCTAAAATCACTGTCTTTTGGGGCATAGAAGATGTAATTCTTGTAGATGTTATGCCATCGGGAGAGAGAATCAAGCTTACATAGGACAATGACAAAATGCATATTTTAAGAGAGTTCGGCCGCACAGGAATCCAGCAGACCTGCTTCTCCTTCACAACAGTGCATGCACTCACATAAATCTGGCAAAACAGGAAGCAATCACCAAATTGGGGGTGGACATCTACCCCTTCCACCCTGTAGTCCCAATCTGGCACTCTCTTATTTTCATCTGTTTGGACCACTTAAATGGGCACTCCTTTGGACAAGTTTTGAAGATGATGGAGGGATTCATGCAGTGAAGCAACTGCTGCATGAGCAAGCTAAAATCTGGTACAGGTTAGGAGTACGTACACTTGTTTCTACTGGTATTAAATAAAGCCTTACATGTTGATGGGGATTATGTTAAATGATACTGATGTTTACATGCCATATCCGTGTATAGTATATGAATTACATGCTGTTTGAATAAACAGCCCCTTAGAGAAAAAATGATTTGGTGCATTTCTTTTCCAGACACCTTGTGTTGTGGCTAAATGTACATTTTGATTTATGTGAACATCTGATTATTCACTAAATTTAAAATTCTTCTGTAGACACACATTTGTGAGGGGTGAAGGATGTTTTGCTTTGTTTACAAATATATTTGATTGCCGTAGGACTGCCAGATATAACTGTGTCATCTGGATGAATGGGGTTTGTGCCTGTTTGATTCTCCTCTATGAGATGTTAATTCTACAGTGTGCAATCCTGGAGTGAAAATGTTTAGAAACAAATTAAGGTGTTTTTTATTTTATCATATTCAGTTTTTGCTTGTCTATTCTGTTCCTTATCTCTGTATTACATCTTTTGTCCCCAGTGTTACCTGTTTCCTTAGATACATTAATTTCTGTACTTTTCATGGATAAACACCACAGACTAATCATGAAAGTGGTGCATCCATTAGATGCACTCTGCAATTTAAAGTACTGAAACATTCTACAGCCCAGACTTGGTACCATCAGACTTTAATTTGTGTGGCTCATTGAAAGAACATTTGCAGATGACAGTGAGGCGATGTTGGTGGTGCAAACTTGGTTACGGGCCACATTCAGAAGCTTCAACATGGTGGGCATCCATAATCTTGTGGATAGGTGGACTGCTTGTATTGTAAGGCAGGTAGATTTTGTCATGAAATAGGACACAAAACAATGTTATTCCTGCAACTTGTAGAAAAAACTTATTAATGCAAGTGTATTCGCTTCATGACTCTGCCTTGTACATAGTATGCATAAATACTTGCGTATACAAGGGCTATTCCAGAATCAATCTATGATTGACCTGTAAATATAAACCGCTTGCCATAGCGACACTGTTCATCATAGGTAGTCTTTTAGCGCACTACATGTCAACATACAGTTGCATTTGTTCAGTGCTTCATTAATCGCGAACAAATAAACATGGACACTATTATTGCCTTTCCTGCCAGCTGTGAAATTGGTAGTGTGTCAAAACACTTGCTGCAGGCTCATTCTCCAAAAGCCCCCAAAAATGTAAGCAAACATTTTCACAAGAAAAGATGATGGTTACAGTGTTCTGTTACCGCAAGGGCATTTTGTTTACATTCATGGCGGTTTAAGTGGGACATTTTCAACCACTCCCTTAAAGCTGGGATTGGGTAACAACCGATGATTATTTTTTGACTAGATGATGGAATGGTTGGATACCCAGCACTTTGACACTGCCAAAAAACTCATGCCACTGCCCGACAAGTGCCTGAATTCAGGTAGTGATTATTATGTGGAAAGAAATGCAATGATGTGTTTACCTTTTTTTATGTATTTAGATGTTATTGTTAATTTGTTTCAGTGTTTACCAAGTCAGAGGTTAATTTTGGTATAGCCCTCATTGTTTACTTTTTTTGTGTGCATTTTTGTTCTGTTTTGCGGGAATTACATATATATATATATATATATATATATATATATATATATATATATATATATATATATATATATATATATATATATATATATATATAAACTACATTGTAAATTTCAAGAGCAGTGGCAAAATGGACTATTCTGTGATAAAAGGAGAATGGGAAGGAAAGAAAGATTAGAAAAAACTGTAGAGATGTTGGACATTTAACACCATAGCGTGGAAGAATATTTGTATCAGAAATGATTTAGAATACATGAGACAGGGCTGTGGGCAGCCATTAAAAACCTACACCACACAGCGTGAACTATAAGAAGTAGAAATCATGTGGGGTTTTTCACCCCCTGTAAGAAATGGTTCATAAACCTGTATGAATTTATGGCAAAAAAATCACTCCAAAAAACGTGTTTATGGACTTTTAAACCTTTTTCAACATATTTAAAGGGAAAAATAAACATTCCATAGGGCATAAAAAAATTATTGAGGCTTACCTGAAATTTTGAGTTCTCTTCTCTATATACCCTCAGTTTTCATCATTCCCTTGCCTCTGCCCCTTGGGCCCAGCAAAAGGACAATCATATATTTTCAATAGCGTTATAATTGACAACCAATCATAAGTGCTTAGATTCTGTCTTAATGTAATCTTGATATTTTCTCATGGGAATTCTAACAATAATATGGGAGTAAACATGAAATAATAGAAAAATACATGAGAATGTGAACACTCGTAGTCACACAAGACATACAAGCAGGGCTCAGACCAGAATGTGAACACTCGTAGTCACACAAGACATACAAGCAGGGCTCAGACCAGCATGTGAAACCCAGAACGAGAGTTATATGGTTAGACTTGTTTAATCAGTGAGTATGTGTTTGGTATCTGGCGTGAAAGGTTGTATCTGATAGACGCGCAAATGTGACACAGTATTTGAATACATGAAGAAGATTGTGTTCCATAAGAAGACCGCAAGACAACAGCTTGATGACAGCCTAATCCGAAGTGGTAGCCGACAAGTTCCAACCGGCCAAGAAGTCTAACCGCCATGATCAAAGTTGCTAGATCAACCATTGTGTGTATTACGTGTGTAATGAAACAGGACTGAAAGGTAACAAGTGTGGAAGGGAGTAGAACGTCAAGTATGTGTTTGATAAATGTCATCATATCTTGCCAGACCTGCTAGCTAATAGTAGACATTGACTGGACCTGATCACCAGTGAAAGTGTAATAAATAAAGTAACTGCTCCTTACCGTGTGCATTCAGAATATCCTCTATGTCCTACAAATTAAAAAAAACCTAGCAGCCAGTTAGCACACCGAGGAGACAATATCCCAAGCTGGGAACTCTACAACGGGAAACCCAAGGAAAAGCAGCTGAAATTTCTAAGTTTAGATAGCGACGCAACAGCTGGCGGTGCCAAGAACTGACACTTATCATTCAGATGCTGGGCCCATTGTGAGTTGGAAGCGGGACAAAGAGGCGGAAGATGAGCAAATAAGAGGCGAAAACTGGTGATAAAGCAAAGTTCCTGAAAACACCCAACGATTCCAACAGTTGAAGCAAAATTCCAACTTAATAGCAACGTTGATGGTGGGTAATTTCATCAACAGTGTGAATAGTTGAAGAGAAGTAGACTGCCCTGTGTTATGCAGCACTTTGGGACGGCCTACAAAGCTTGACAGTTGATTGACAAGTCACCCGTCGAAAAGCAGAACAACGCAGCAACGGTGATCCATTAAGACAACTGAGAAAGAAAAATGTCAGTTGAATACAAGAAAGCAGTAGAAACTTTAATTTAAATGTTGAATAGTTTATCCACTGATCTAGTCAGTCAAAAAACAGCAGAGGTTACACATTAACAAGTCACCAGAACAAGCTTCACTCATAACACTTCACCATAAATTTCAAGCCGTTACCGGAACTCAACACAGTTTAGCTCAAGAACACACCGCAAACAGATCGTGAGGCAGTGAGAAATTATCTGGAGTGACAACATTTGACAATTTGCTACAACAAAATCAGAAATTATCTGATTCAGTCAAAAGTTATTTGACTAATACCATATCGAGGCACTACACATAAGCGGCCGACAGTGAAACAAAGTTTAGCACAACCATCGACAGACGAAAGCAGGCGTGCATGATTGGCAGACGGTTTGAGAGAGCTGCACACAACATGAGTGTCGGAATTTTTGTGACCACTTTGGGCAAATGTTTTACGAAATTAGGCTTGTGTAAGGGATATTGGCAGA